GGAAATTCGGAGCAGGTTCGCAAATCTTTTGATTCAGATCAGAAATTGGGAGCGGGTTCACGACTCATTTGATTTAGATCGGAACTTCGTGTATCCTGAAACATTTGATGCAGATCTGGACTTAGGAACTTAAACTAAAGTTAACATGAAAGTAATAAGTAATAAAAAATAGTAATAAAAAGTGACATAATAATATTATAGTATATACAATAAATAATTGTCAAAATTTTGATAATTTTTAATGCTCTTATGCTCAGCAAGGCAGAATTTATTTAATAAAAAATATAGTAAATGCAGCCTTGGTGAGAAGAGACTTCTTTCAAAAACATAAAATAAATCTTAATTATTACAAACTTTTGACTGGCTGTTTAATACAAAAAAACCCACTTACAACTGTGCACAGTATACTTACTGCTAAAATATGAGTCTATGGTAGTGTGCTGTTCTGAACATAGCCTTTGCATGATCCAACTCTTTCAAAGTTCTCATTTGCTGGTTAATTAATTTGTCTCTTTAAGTACCTCTCTTGCAATGATTAATTGGTTAACAGTTACTCATTTCCATATATTAACTCCTCCCCCAGGTTCTCATTGGATGTTGAGACAGGTTGGGTGACTCTTCGAGACCGGTTGGATTATGAGCTCATGAGACGCTTTACTCTAACAATACTGGCCCGTGATGGAGGAGGGGAGGAGACTACAGGACGCCTTCGCATTAACGTGTTGGATGTAAACGACAATGCGCCAGTCTTCCAGAAGGAGGCGTATACGGGTTCACTCATGGAGAACGAACAGGCTCCACAACAAATAGTCCGAGCCCGGGTGAGAAACATAAAGAGATGTGAAAACACTGAAAAGTGGATGATTTGTATCGGAATGGATGGGAAGGGTTGAAAAGTTTTAGTTATTTGTGACGTCAGCTGAGTTGGAAAGTTGTTTCAGAGAAAAACACATGCACAGATGAATCGAGCACAATCAGACCAAGAATGTGAAATTAGGACAGAGCCACTGAGTTGAATGTGAATGTTAAAGGCCAGATTTTATAGACTTCCTGATCCTTGTTCTGATGTGTAATTGTGGGTCATTCACTCTGCTAGTGTTCAGTATGTCTCAGTTAGTGTTTAATTCTCTCCGCATGTGGACACAGCAGCACTAATTCCAGCCGTCTGCTCTAATCTGTGCTGTGATTGACAGTTTGACAGCAGTTGCTGCAGTTGTCTGACCAGCAGGTGGCGATGTGTTTTGTTGTTGTGTGTCTGCCGGTTCACCTTGTTTTTGTAATCCTTCTATCATATTCACTACTGTACCATTATTATTTTATTTTTTTTACTATCTGAAAAGCACAAAAATGATACTCAGTTAAGGCAAGAAGAGATCAGGTGTTTAATTAATTGAATGACTTTTATACATTGCCATTTTGTGAGATTTTGATTTAAAGGTGATGTAACGTTCGTTTTTTTATTTTTTTTACGTTTTTTATTAAAAAAAACATTTCTGAAGGATGACTTTGGTGCAGTGTAATTTTAGTATTTTTATTAATACTATAATGTATAATTTATTTGCTATAATAATATAATTTATTTATTAGCTTTTATTTTCAGTTTTCATTAAAAATAATTTTAATGCTTTTGTTATTTTGTTGTTTTTCTTTAATTTATTTTTATTTCAGTTAGTGGCTAAAGTGACATTTCTAACAGCAAGTTTAAGTTTTTCATCTAGCCTAATAGTTCATTTCAACTTTATTTCAGTTAATCTAAAACAGATTTTAATAGTTTAGCACTATAAACTATTAACACTTTATTAACACTATAAAACATTGCTTTGTTTTTTTTTTATTTGTTTACTTATGTAATGCATAATTTTCCCTTTAATTTGACTTTAATTTAACTTAATTTAACCATTTATTTTGATTTCCGTTAGTTGTCAAGGCAACATTTCAAATGTTCTATTATGTCTAATTTAAAGTTTTTTGTTATCTAATATTAAAATTTTATTTTATTTTATTTCAGCCTTCAATTAATGAAAACAAATTTTAGTAGTTAAATTATAGTTAACAATAACAACATATATATAATGCTATAAAAACTTTGCTCTGTTTGTTTGAATGCTAAATGTTAGCTTCTGGCCCAACCAAGCATGAGTCTGTGGACTGGTTTCCCTGCTTTTGCCTACATTGACAGATGAGGGAAGGGGCGGTATGAGTGTTTGGGAAACGTGTTTGGAAACAGTCATTACGGTAATGATATAATGACCTTCTGTGTCTCCCTGTGTGTGTTTCTCAGGCGACGGATGAGGACTCTCCTCCCAATAACATCCTGACCTACTCCATCATCTACGCCTCTCAGTTCAGGTCATATTTCAGCATCAGTGTGGTGGAGGGCTACGCAGGTCTGTGTTCAAATCAAAGTCACCTAATAATACGATTTCACTGCTTGTTCATGCTGGTGATGGGTTACATTATGCGCTCTCCATCGCTCAGGAATCGGATTTGGGTTTAACACCTTAAAGCGTGAAAATGCCTTTAGAGAAGCCTTTGTGACCTCTGGTGTTTCATAAATGGATTATAGATGGCTGTCTAGTAAGCATGTGGTGATATATTTGTTTTTCTGTTTTTATATTTATTCAATTTGCGTGTCATATAGGGTTGCCACCCGTCCCTTAAAATACAGAATTGTCCCGTATTTAAAGGTAAAATTATGCATTCCGTATCAAATCAATACGGGACGCTATTTGTCCCGTATTTTACAAAAGCCAACGCATAGTTGAATCAACAAATAGGTATTGTGCACTGTTTGTAATACTAATCGCAATTATAATGAAATCAGTTTCATACGAAGTATTAAAGAAGTTCATTTTTGCGTGATTGCATTTTGCCGTCTTTGTGTCCATAGTGATGGAGTCTCCAGAGCGTGTGCCATTAAAGCCCTTTCGTGGTAAACCTGCGCGGTTTAAAACATCTAGAGCTCACATCCACCCTTTGAACACAAGGCTCTCACAAGATGTAGGGCTGAATGGTTAAGTTATCAATGGATCTGTTCAGTAACTAATGATGAACGCACAGTTTGCAGAGAAGCTTGCTCACGGTGGACTGTCTGACTTAAAGGGATCGTTCACCCAAAAATGAAAATGTTGTCATCATTTACACACCCGCAAGTTGTTACAAACCTGTAATAATGTCTTCCTTCTGTTAAACATAAAAGAAGATACTTTGAAGAATGTGGGTAACCAAACTGTTTCTGGTCCCCAATGACTCTGATAGTATTTTTTCTCTACTATGGAAGTTACTGAGGACCAGCAGCTGTTTAGTTACCCACATTCTTCAGAGTGTCTTCTTTTGTGTTCAACGGCAGAAAGAATTTGATGCAGGTTTTGAACAACCTGGGTAAATTATGACAGAATTTTTATTTTTTGGGGTGAACCATATCTTTAAAGTGACAGACACATCCGTGCTTCTAAAGGTATCGGCCTGTTGTTTTATTAAAATTTGGATAGTCTGTTAATACATTATCAGAGCTTAGTAGACATAATTATTATATTTTTAGGCATTATTAGCCAGACTAATTAATAGATTATAGGCCTATTTTATGTTATACCCTATTTATTAATTTATCATTTATATGAATCATAAGTATATACATAATAAGTAATCATATGTCATTTGGCATTTTAAAAAGTTTTAAAAAATGCTAAATTATTTAGACAAAAATGGGACAAATAATTACATAATAATGTAGTCCTAATTTAACCAAATGAATAAAAAAATTATAAAAATTCATCCCATCCTGGTAACAGCTGCAGAACTGTCAAAAAAGACAAATAATAATTAATAATTATAAATAATCAAATTTAAAATAACAATGTTAATGTGTTAAGTCTACATAGCCTACTTGAGCATGTTTTCTCATGGTTTACTGTTGAGCTATGAGTTCCTCACTGATTATTTGTGTCCTTGGAGTTTTTTTTTTTTTTTTTGGGGGGGGGGGTGTCATGAGTGGGTGTCCCTTATTTTTCCTCGCTGAAGGTGGCAACCCTAGTGTCATAACTCTTGTTTGTTTGTTTATTAGTCATCACCGTGAATCGTCCTCTGGATTATGAGCAGGTTCCAGGTGGACTGATCTTTCTGACACTGATGGCCAGAGACGGAGGGAACCCGTCCCTCAACAGCACTGTTCCAGTCACCATAGAGCTGTTTGTGAGTACTACACCTGCCTTCACACTTAACCTTCCAGAGGCAGTGGTCAATATACTACACCATGAAAGAGTGCGATTCTACGGGATGGTGATTAGAGGAAAACATTATGCAAATGTTTGTAATATCATTTCAGCTGCGCTACCGTTCAAATGTTTGGGGTCAGTACGTTTTTTTTTTTTTTTTTTTGAAAGAAATAATACTTTTGTTGATCATGGATGCTTTAAATTGCTCAAAAATAACAGTAAAGACTTTTATAATATTGCAAAAGATTTTTATTCAAATAAATTCTGTGAATATTTTGAACTTTTTATAGATAAAAGAATCCTGAAACGAAAATATCACTGTTTCAAAAAAAATATATATATTATGCAGCACAACTGTTTTCAACATTTATAATAATAATAAGAAATGTTCCTTGAGCAGCAAATCAGCATTTTTTTGAAGGATCATGTGACACTGAAGACTGGAGGAATGATGCTGAAAATTCAGCTTTGCATCAAAGGAATAAATTACATTTTAAAATATATTCAGATACAAAAGATTTTTTTTTTAATTTACAGTTTTACTTTTTTGTAATTATAATACTTTTATTACATTTTATTAAAATATTAAGATATATTAATATTGATCCCAAACTTTTAAGTGTTAGTGTATGTAAAAAAAACTAAAGCAGGACAGATGAGCAACTTACGTTGCATCATAATGCAGTTGAACCGTCTTTTAATTTAAAGAAATATTTTGATTTCAATACCTATTAAACTCACTTAACAGCATTTGTTGCCTCATATTGCCACAAAAAATTACTTATTTATGACATAAATTGACTTATCTATGATTTTATTTAATAAAAAAAAACATTACTGTGAGGCGCTTACAATGAAAGTGAATGGGGCCAGTTTTTGGAGGATTTAATAGCAGAAATGTGATGCTTTTATATTTTATATAATTGCAGTTCTACAGTTTAAGTATTATTTGAGCTTTAATGTTGTTTTTGTCAGTTTTGCTGTTTTAGGGTTAGTGTTACATTGTCTTTGGCAACGTTGTAAAATTAGATAAACATTTTACACTAATATCATATTAACAGGCATGCTGTTTATGTTTTGTGGTTATCTTATTGTAACAGTGAGTATTTGAATGTTTACAGACTTCCCTTATTCACTTCCTTTGCAGGTGACTCACTGTAATCCAGAATTGAGCTTTTTTGTGTATATATAGAAAAAGGAAAGACAAGTCTAAATGAATGTTACACCACAAGTGATTGAGCTTTACTTGGAATAGTCTTTTAACTTCATTTTAGAATTAGGTGAAAACAAAGATTACCCAAAACCGTAATTTCAGATTCAAGTTGCTCACACACAAACAAACACAGTTTGGCGTTGTGGGATCTGTGTGTTAATTCTAAATTCATGGGTTTTCTCTGAGGTCCATTGTCTAGAACGGTTAATTTCTCTCTGGCATTTCTCTGCTCTTTTATTGTGATTCCGCTTAGACACATTTCATCTGAAAAACAGCAGGGGTTTGACACATCTGCGTCCGTGTGTGTGTGTGTGTGTGTGTGTGTGTGTTATTACTGAACCTTGAACTGAATTAAAGTGGTAAAACAGTGTATGCGTCTGATATTGAATAATTTCCCATCGCCACAGCCTGTGAGTTTCCATTAAACCCCCAAAGCACTCCATCAATACATTTAATTATAACCAAAGCTGTTTTTTCCCCCCTGTGGAAAATTAATGAGTTAATATTTAAAGATTTTTTAGATAACTAATACATTGATCTCTTCCCTCCTTCCTCCGCAGGATGAGAATGACAACCCACCTGAGTTCAGCCTCCCGTCTTACATCGTCAACATAGCCGAGAATATCATTGCAGGTACATTTACAATTATATTATCAAAAAATGGAAGAATGTATCAACATGTAGCACATGTACAGTGCTCAAAACCTCATGACAGCATAACTAGATTCCTGTCAGTGATGATTTACAACGCTCAGCCAGCTGTGCACTAGTTCTGTTCCACACTAAAATAATGGTTTGCGTGAATAAGTGCTGTTTTCCCAGAGCTAGGACAAAGGCTTTTGGTAGTTTTGTTTCAGCTCTGACCACCCAAAACCACAACCAAAATGTTCAAATACTCCCTTGAGAATCTGGTTAGAGTTTTATTCTAAACCTGTTAAACTTGTGCAATTAATTAAGCCTAAACTGCTTAATACACAGATTCAATTCACACCTGTTTTTGTGCTGATTTTTTTTATATATTTTTTTTTATTTAGTTTATTATTTTAGTTTTATATTTTTTGTTTATATAATTTATTATTATATATATTTTATTTTATATATCTCCCACAATTTTTTTTTGATGTTGTCATTGTAATGTTTTGTTTTTGTGCTAATCAATTATTTTATTTTTTATTTCATTTTATTTAATTTCATTTTATTTGATAAAATCTCCCACTATTTGCCAGTGATGTTATCATTTGTAATGTTTTGTTTTTGTGCTAATCATTTATTTTATTTGATAAAATCTCCTACTATTTACCAGTGATAATGTAATTTGTAATGTTTTGTTTTAGTGGTGATCATTTATTTGATTTTATTTATTTATTTAATTTTTAAATTTCCCACTGTTTATCAGTGAGTATTATGTGAGTACTAGTGCTCATTGTAGTATTTGCTTACTGAATTCCGTCTTTTTCTTATGTCTGTTTGTATAATCATTTGTTATTGGACTTGTTTTTCATGCAGTTATTTAATCTATTATTTATTTAATTAATTATAAATTTTTATCTATCAAGTGCAACTCCTTCCAAAAGTAGAAACACTAATTTTTTTTAATTAATTAACAATGGTGTTTCTCATTCACACCACATGACAAGCACTGTGTTTCCTTCAGGAAATGCAAATCTATTCTATTCAGCTGCAGTTTTTTTTCTGTGTGCTGCATCATTTTGGACACACTACAAAACTCCTTCAAGATATTTGTTTCTGTCTTGGTTTATTTTTCCCCTTTTTATCATTGTGTTTTAATTGAGCGAGAAGGTTGTGCGCAGAGGAAAAAGGCATGATTCTCATGCATTTATTCACTCAATGCTTTTATTCCACACAATAGACTCGTCTTCAATCATCAAATGGAAATTACATTTGCTCCGTTGTGCACTTGTGTGTGTCACAGTTACTGAACGCACTCGGATGATCCTGAAATCCCTGTCTCCATCAATGCACAGCACTGCACACTAACTAACCACTTCCTGTGTGAAGACCATCCCTCACGCTTTGCCTGTCTATCACCCTGTCTTGTTTCTTCTCTTCGTACAGCTGTCTGTCTCATATATTTATTATCTGATGGCTTGTTTACATGCTCTTACCTTTCTCTTTTGTCTCTCTCTGTGTCAGGAGCGACGGTGTTGTTTGTGAATGCCACAGATCTGGACGCGTCTCGGGAGTTTGGTCAGGTCTCCCTCATATATTCCCTGCAGGGCAGCTCACAGTTCAGACTCAACACTCGCTCAGGTGGACAACGGCACACACATTCACACCTGACCTTTAACCCTCATGCTCGCTTTGGGGTCTCACAGGCCAAAGGCCCTTTTAAATAACTCGGATAACAGTCAGTAATCATGTCTGCTTGGCCCATTTGCAAGTTTTAGTTGCCATTTACATTGTATTTATTTATTTATTATTAAATTTTGTATTTATTTTATGTTATCAGAAATACTTCTAGTACATTTTAAATAAAATATATTTATTTCATTATATTATTTTCGTTTATTAATTACAGTTTTTTCAATTAATTTTCGGATAAAGGCAAAAACCCTTCCAAAAGAAGTCAAAACAAAAAGGTTGAGAGTCTTGAAAAGAAATGTAAACTCTAGGCACATTTCTAGGCAATTTCTGTGCCATTTTTACATGGCGCCAAATAAATGTTGCTAAACAGAATTCTCATGTGCATGAAGAAATTACATACATTAATATAGCCAGCTGCTTGCACATGTAACCTCTCTCCCCCGGGTCTGCACCGCCACACCTCGTTCTCGCTCCGAGTGGGTCTCCGGCATGGGAGGCGGACGCACTAACAAGGAGGCTAAATGGCTGCAGCCACTAGCACGTCTCTTGAGATCAGGGGAGTGAGGTTTTTTACCTTGCACAGCACCTACTCGCTGGCCTCCGTTACACTCACCCCCCAAACCTCACTCCCATCCGGGTCACGGCACCAATGTAACCTCTCTCCCCTGGGTCCGCTCCGCCACACCTCGTTCTCACGCCGAGTGGGTCTCCGGCATGGGAGGCGGACGCACTAACAAGGAGACTTGCACAGCACTTACTCGCTGGCCTCGGTTACACACACTTTACACTAGGATCATTATTGAAGAGTATATTGACAAGAAATAAATAAGTGCTGTCATTCACAACTCACTTAGTATAGTTATAGTAATTATTACAGATTTTCATATCACCAAATATTTTTTTTCTTTTAAAAACGTCTTGCAAAATAATGTTTTTGAACAAGTTTCAAATAATCCAGGTAGCCCTGCCCCAAACTGATGTCATTGGTTGGTTTAATGTTTTTATATGTGGGCCACTCAAAATTGCAATTCTAAACAGATAGAAACAACAATATTACTTTGTACATTATCACCACATCTTGAGTGTCTCGTCCAGCTGCCTGGAACAGGTTCATGTCTGTCTGAGCTGAATATGTCTGTATGTGTGTGTAGGAGAGATCACTACCACAGCTCTTCTGGATCGAGAGATGAAGTCTGAGTATATTCTGATCGTAAGAGCCGTGGATGGAGGGGTGGGACCACAGCAGAAAACCGGCATCGCTACGGTAACGGCTGACCCTTTGATCCACATTAGAAAGCCACTCAGACAACTATAAGTGAGCTTACTGTATATTATGTGAAAGAAGAATTGTTTATTGTGATGATTATTAATAGTATATTTTATTATTTATTGAAATTAGGTGTCTATTAGGGGTGTCTGTTTTCACCAAATTTTAAAGCAAAGTCACCCGAAGCAATGCATTATGTTAAAGATGACAAGCATGTATCTGTGGATCTGTCCACTGCAGGTGAACATCACTGTTCTGGACATAAATGATAATGCCCCCATGTGGCGAGATGAACCGTATCAAGCAAATGTTGTGGAGATGAGTCCCATCGATACTGACGTCATTACTGTGAGTGCTCTGCTCTGACCTTTAACCTTTTGAACTGACTTTTTGACCTCAAACTGGCTTATAAACTTCTGTATTCTCTTGTGACCTATCAACCTGACCTTTGACCTGTACGTGAAGGTTGCTAATGATACATTTGTTTTTCATTTCCTCTCAACTTAAAGTCCCAATGAAATCAAAATGAAAGTTTTTTGGGTGTTAGTATCAATATGTTAGTCTTAAAGTTATCTATAAGGCAGTGTGCTCCAAAACGGTGACAAAATTCGCATTTAGAAGATATAAGCATTCAAAGCTTGCAGTTCGTCACTTCAGCCAAAATGGATCAACAATTTTTTTGACGTCACCTCGTACTTCAGCTTCTCATTAAATCTTCTAACCAATCAAATGCTCTCTAGAATCCGAAGCGCCCGCCCCTACACTATAAATAGACGCTGAAGCTGCGGCTGAGATCGGTCACTTGTTCACAGTGTTAGTATTTTCTGTACAGTGAATTGATTTCATTTTCCGTTCAGTGTATTTTAATTTGTCCATTTTAAAATGTGGTCTGGCGTCAAAACTGACATGCCATGATTTTTTTATTGATCACAAGTGTGAATTAATTTTGGGTGAAGACATAAGTGAATCATGGCTTACATTTTAGTCTGTTCACACAAAAATGTATCATATGGATTTTATTTTTTATCTTTAATGGTGCATAGTTCTCCTTTTAGGAAGTAGAGAGTCATGGTCTGATTAGGCACCAAAAAGACTAAAAACCCATCATATAAGATGTGTATCGAATCCTGTAGATGAAATAAGATACAGAAACACTGGCAGTTTTGAAGCAGCTGTTTGATCCTAGTGTCAGCAGGTAAACGTAGTTAGTGCTATTGATTTTATGAGTTATAATTTCTTACAGTTTCTCTCTGAGTCAAATCCCCACCGTACCCAGAGGAGCAAATTTCCATCTCCTCTCCGTCTGGAGAAAACCCCACTGTCCCTGCCTTTGATTGGCTGCAGTTTTGCAGCTGAATTCAAAGTGGGCTCTCACCTCGGTGTCCTTGGAACGTTTTACAGAGATTTCTATATTCTCATATTACTCTATTGCTTGACGTTTGTGAAAAATCCCATCTTGAGGGGTTTTTCCTCCTTTGGTGAATGAATAAATTATTTCATATGTTAATGTCAGGCACACCATCTCTACTTTCAGTCTCATACGGCCGTGGACCATTTGGAAGAGGCAAAGGGTTTCCAAAATCTTAAAGGTGACCTATTATGCCCCTTTTTACAAGATGTAAAATAAGACTATGATGTCCCCAGAGTTTGTATGTTAAGTTTTAGCTCAAAATACCCCACAGATAATTTTTTATAGCTTGTTAAAGTTGCCACTTTTAGGGTACGAACCAAAACGTGCAGTTTTTGTGTTTGTCCCTTTAAATGCAAATGAGCTGGTGCTCCCAGCCCCCTTTTCAGAAGAGGGCGGAGCTTCAAGAGCTTCACGTTGCTTTCATATGCAATTTTTAACTACCACATTCCTATTTACAGTCATTTTGGTAGCATGTGAAGGCAGCATCAGTGAAAACAAGCAGATAAATGGTAGCTTTAGCAAAATTAGCCTGACAGAGTGTCAAGAAGCTCTTTCAGAAAGGCTTTGGAAAACAAAATATGACACGCTTACTTTGTCTGGAGCTGACGTTTGCACACTAAGCGTTGGTATTTATTAGGGATGCACGATATTATATTTTGCCGATATGCCAATATTTTTCGAATTTTTTCACATTTTGGCCTATAGCCGATGCAGATACTGATATATATTTCCCTTTGTTTTGAAACAACACCAAGTCTCTCCTGTGTAGAAATTATAAACAAATTATTTTTAGTTTTGGTTAGTTTTAAGCAAAAACGTATTTGTTAGAAGTAATAAACTTTATTAAAGTTATTTTTTTATGAGCATTTTTTTTTTAAATCAGCCGATGCCAACGTTTACATTTTAAGCCTTTATTCCGATTCTGATAACGTTCCGATAATATTGTGCATCCCTAGTATTAATCCCGCTTTCAGAATCAACTTTTGCAAAAATCCAGCATTGAAATGACGCTTGTTTGTGAGGCAGTCCGGCGTAAAATAATTGGCATAATCATAGGACTTTACCGATTTTTTCTGGGACATTTCCTTCGAAAATGAAACTTAACCACAGTGTTCTCAGCGGCTCAGATGGAGGGAGTCTATGGAGCTATGTTCGTTTGTGCATGCCAAAACACAACACTTGTAATGCCTCTTTGGTGCTGACAAGCAGCTACAGCAAGAAAACAGTAATGGCGGACTGCAGCTTCTCACTCATGCGTGTGTCTATGCTAATAGGGCAGAGAGTGTCACAAATGGGCAGGATTTCCCCCTACGTCGACGTGTACGTTGGGAGAATCTGGAATCGCTTGTTCTGAGAGACTATTTATCATTTATTGGGATTATTAAAAAAAATGAGTGGGTGAATATTTGCCATTATAGGCTAGTAGTCTTCACACATTGCGGCCACACAACTTTGTTCAAACACCTTATAAAAGTGATTTTTGCATAAGAGGTCCCCTTTAAACTGTAAAATGATGGACTAGTTTTGATGCATTTCCATGAGTCAGGGTTCACAGGGTTATCAGTCCACCAGGAAGCAACATAGTGTTTACCAGGTTCCCATGCAGGCTGTTACAAAAAACTAATTTAAAGGTGAAGTGTGTGATTTATACAAAAATGGTGCTAAATAGCGCTAAAAGTGGTTAATTGGCTTGTAATCATAGGGGACATTGTGACCGCTACACACATTTTCTGCTATTTCTCAGTGTTGACTGCTGTTATTATTTAAACAAACTGCCACTTTGTTGCCCTTACTGTGGTATCATTGATTTCAGATTTACCTGCCACTAAACATCACACAGTCTCAGTAAGCCAGACTGTTGGCTATTGGCATTTAGGTGTCACCTTTGGCTTCTTCATAGGGAGTTTTAAGACATTAAGGCACACTTTTCTATAAAGCTGTTTTAAATAACACGGATTCTAAAAAGCTCTATACAAATAAAAATCACTTGACTTGAAAAATTTGTCCAGATTATTGTTTATTCTGGCCAAGAACCACCCAATTAGACAAGAGAGTCCATTTGACCTGCTTTTTTTAGATCAATTTGACCACAATAGACTAGAACTATTAAAGACAATTGTCATTATATGGTAAACAACTTTGTATTCGAGCGGACTGGTGCACATATAGTAGTTGGTGGTTTCAGCCAGATCTTGGCATTTTTGCATTCAATATAAATCATATAATCTAAACTGCGAGCAATATCTGTGGCCATGGGATCTGAGGAAAAAGTAAACTAAATGCAAACTGACGGTTTTACAATATATTGGAAAACTGCTGAATTTGAGATGTGGGTTTTGTGTGTGTTCAAGTTAAATGTGGTCAGGCCTCTAGAAACCTTGGACTTCAACCCTCTGCTCGTAAATGTTTAGGGTGTTTTATACTGGCTCTGTCTTTTGCTAAATATGCCCCTGATTGTCCGTTAATTAACAAGCCAGTCCTGAACTTCATTATGAGGTTCCGATAACTAATTAAAATGTAGCCCAGAGTCAAGTGCATACTTGATTACCCTGCTGGACACCGTGCAGGAGAGAGCGATAAAACAGAACAAAGGAAGAAATGGATGGATAATTTAAATCACAGAACAGTGGATGTAAAAACCAAATGTCCTAAAGCATGTTTGACTTCTACACTCTGGTGGGGGAGTCCATCAGTCCACTTACCACTCAACACAATGGTTATAGTGTGGTTTAATCAAGTAATAATTCACCAAAAATATATAAATAAATACATATTTTTTTGTAATCATTTACTCTCTATTGTGTCATCATTTAAAAAAAGAGCCTCTAACACTAGCATTCTCTATTCTTTTTCTATTCTACCTACTTGTTTTCTTTTTTATTTATTATAAAAAATGACCCTCTAACACTAGCGTTCCCTATTCTTTTTCTACATTTACATTACATTTATATTTAATCATTTAGCAGACGCTTTCATCCAAAGCGATTTGCAAATGAGGGGAACAATAGAAGCAATCAGACCAACGAGAGAGCAACAGTATACAAGTCCTGTGACAAGTCTCAGTTAGTCTAGCACAGTACACATAGCTAGGTTTTTTTTACATTTTGAATAGGATAGGATAGGTAAGTGCTAGTATTAATTGGTCAATTCTCTCCTCTGTCCCCCTCCACCACCTCCCACCACTTCTATAACAGCTGATGATTTCGCCACATTCTTCACAGACAAAACTAGAACAATCAGTAGTCAATTCTCAGCCCCACACACACAGGACCTCAAACCAACTACTGGTAAGCCACTGCTAAAACTCCCATCTTCTCCTTCTGTCCCCTCACTGAGGCAGAAGTATCCAAACTTCTCCTCTCCAGCCACCCTACAACATGCCCTCTAGACCTAATCCCCTCACACCTTCTCCAAGCAATCTCCCCTACACTTTTACCAGCACTTACACACATCATCAACACATCCCACTGCATTCAAGCAGGCTCGGGTAACCCCACTGCTCAAAAAACCTACATTAAACACTTCTCTTATAGACAGCTACAGACCTGTCTCTCTCCTTCCATTCATAGTGAAAACCCTCGAACCAGTTGTTTTCAACCAGATATTATTGATTCTTTCACAGAACAACAAACTGGATGCTAACCAGTCAGGTTTCAGGAGTGGCCATTCAACTGAGACTGCGCTACTGTCAGTCACGGAAGCCTTGCGGATTGCAAAAGCTGATTCCAAATCATCAGTTCTTATTCTGCTGGATCTATCTGCTGCTTTTGACACTGTCGATCATCAGATCCTCCTGTCCACCCTCTCATCACTGGGCATCACAGGGATTCCATTTCACTGGTTTGAATCTTATCTCACTGGTAGGTCTTTCAGGGTGGCCTGGGGAGGAGAGGTATCCAAAGTACATCAACTGGTCACTGGGGTTCCTCAGAGATCAGTTCTTGGACCCCTCCTCTTCTCCATATACACTACATCACTGGGACCCATCATACAGGCACATGGTTTCTCCTACCATTGCTATGCTGATGACTCACAGCTCTGTATCGCATTTAAACCAGATGATCCAACGTTAGCTGCTAGGATCTCAGGCTGCCTGGCGGACATCTCAGCATGGATGAAAGAACATCACCTACAGCTCAACCTGGCAAAGACTGAGCTTCTTGATGATTTCACCATCCAGCTAGGTTTTTCTACAAATACCCCATCAACTTCGGTCAGAAATCTTGGTGTAATCTTTGATGACCAGCTGACCTTCAAAGACCACATTGCAAAAACTGCTAGATCTTGCAGGTTTGCATTGCACAACATCAGAAAGATCAGGCCCTTTCTAACGGAGCATGCTGCACAACTTCTTGTCCATGCGCTTGTCATTTCTAGGCTGGACTATTGCAATGCTTTTCTGGCTGGACTTCCATCATGCACAATCAAATCTCTACAAATTATTCAGAATGCAGTGGCACGACTGGTCTTCAACGAGTCCAAAAGTGCTCATGTTACACCTCTCTTTATCTCCTTGCACTGGCTACCGGTTGCAGCTCGCATCAAGTTCAAGACACTGATGCTTGCATGTAGAACAGCCTCAGGCTCAGCACCCGCCTACTTCCACTCACTAATATGAATCTACATTCCCTCCAGAAGTCTGAGATCCACTAGTGAGCGCCGCCTCGTGGTACCTTCACAGAGAGGCTCAAAATCACTTTGCAGAACATTTCCGTTCACCATTCCTGGCTGGTGGAATGATCTTCCAACCCCTATCGGGAATGCTGAATCCCTGACAATGTTCAAGCGACAGCTGAAAACTCATCTCTTTTGACGCTACTTGACTTCATCATAAAAAATAAAAAATAAACTTTTGTCTTTCTCTTTATTTATTCCTTCCCTTTCTAGCTTGTGCTTATTTGAACAATGCCTGAAACTTGGTATTACGAGCACTTCCTGTGTCTGTTTGCCTCTTTAAGAAGAATCGCTTTATGTATTCCCCAATTGTAAGTCGCTTTGGATAAAAGCATCTGCAAAATGACTAAATGTAAATGTAAATGGTGGCGAATTAATACTAGCACTTACCTATCCTTGTTTTCTTTTTATTTATTATAAAAAAGCCCTTGCTACGTGTACTGCGTTAAGCTAACTGAGACTTGTCTCAGCACTTACATATTGTTGCTCTTTTGTTGTTTTGATTGCTTCTGTTGTCCTCATTTGTAAGTCACTTTGGATAAAAGCGTCTGCTAAACGACTTAATGTAATGGCATGTAAACTGATGTGTAACAGAATTCCCAAGCTATTCTAAGTTTGGGGTCAGTAAGATGTTTTTAATGTTTTTAAATGAAGCCTGCTAAAAATACAGTAAAACAGTAATATTGTGAAATATTTGTAAAATTATATTTGAATATATTTTAAAATGTCATTTATTCCTGTGGGGGAAAAATAAATAAATAAATATGTTATTGCATACAGTCCTCAGTGTCACATGACCCATTCGGAAATACTTTTTTGATCAATAGAAAGTTCAAAATAACAGCATTTATTTGAAATATAAATATTTCGTAATATTATAAATGTCTTTGCTGTCATTTTTGAGAAATGTAATGCATCCTTGCTGAATAAAAGTATGATTTTCTTTCAAAAATATATTTTCTTGACCCCAGATTTTCATTGACCCCAGACCATTTTCCTTGAATCACAGTGTAAATTTCAGTCTGTTTCACACAGTTTTCGTGTGACTTCAGAAGACTTTAAATAAAGCTCCTATGGAATACTTTTATTCTATGGCGCTTTTTATAATTTATGAAGCTTGACAGCCCCTTGTCTTTGGATGTTTCCTTAAAAAAGCAAAGTGGACTTTCTGCAATGCATCTCGTTGTTGCAGTGTTTTGAAAACGCTGCAGTGTTTCAAACATTTCAGGGGAATCGACCTGCAAACGGCTGCACATTAAGCTGGGACAGGAGAACATATTTTAACATCACAAAATCACACATATCACCTTTAAAATTGTCTATAAACCTGCCTGAGTAAATGTGTGTGTGAAATATCCCCCTCAGAGTTCAAATCAATTAGATAAACTTTACATTAGACCCGTGCTCTACATCATCCGTTTAAACTCCCTCTAATCAATGGAGAACACAGTTGTCTGGTCCTTCCTGTTTTAATAATTAAAGACCTACAGAACCTTTGTTCTCTAATGACCAATTAAGTGATTTTCAGTGCTTCTCCACCAGCATTGTGAATAATTGATTGGCTCTTAAAAAAAAAAATAACAGCCAGGATTTTAGACAGTTATGGCCCATGCATAAATCTCCCATCATGCCGTTCTGTAGGGAGAGGGCTAGTGTGATTTAATTTCTGCGCCTTAGGACTCATTTTTCTTCTGCTTCTCTGTGCAGGTATTAGCGGTGGACCCTGATTATGGTGATAATGGGACGGTGGTCTACTCTATAAATCCAGAGAACCCCTTCTACACCATCAACCGCAACACCGGGAAGATCCGCACCAGTGGGGCGGTGCTGGACAGAGAGAGTCAAAACGCCCGCTCCGCACAGCTTATGAGGACCATCATTGTCTCTGCTACCGACCGTAAGAAACTCTCACCTGTCCCATAATGCTTCACTCTGTCTCTGAGGTCACAATAAAATAGTTTTACAGTCGCCAACTTTCAGTTTCTTTATTTCTGGACTGTCTAGCCTGTCTTGCTGTCTACCTGTCTAGTCTGTGTATTCAGAATAGCATGCTATAACATAATGGTCTTACCCATTTCAGTATGCAAACTTTCTTTATTACATACACTACCATTCAAAAGTTAGAAGTCAGTGAGACTAGCGAAAAAATAGTACTTTTATTCAGCAAGGTTGTGTTAAATTGATCAAAAGTGACAATAAATACATTTATAATGTTGCAAAGATTTTCCTTTTTTGCTGAAAATTCACCTTTTCATTACAAGAATAAATTATATTTGAAAATATATTAAAATACAAAACAGTTAAAAAATGTAAATAGTTTTTTTGTTGTTGTGTAACTGTCTAATTTTGAATCTAATTTTAGTCAAACAAATGCATAAAGGTTTATTTTAGTAAAACAAATTTAAAAATATTACTGACTCCAAACTTTTGAACATCTGCCAAATGTGTTGTATATATATGTGTATACATTGTATATTGTATCCCACAATGCAGTGTGGTTGGCCTGACTTTTCACAAACTTTTAATTAACCATAATTATTAACCATTTTTTTGTTGTTTTTCTTTTGTACTCATTATTTGATCAAACTTCCATATGCAATATATTGCGACATATTTAGGCAAAATCATATAAAAAAATGTTTTTTATTTTTACAAAATGTATTATATGCAAGATATCCAGGTGCTAGCATTTAAAAAAATCACAATATTATATATCAAAATATGTATTGTTTCAAATGTTTATCATTGTTTAATGCTTTCTATTTCACTTATTATAAAAAAAATAGTATGCAGTGCATACTATACAGTATTCACCAAGTAGTAAGCTAATATTCCAAACACATCCTTTGTTTTGTCTCAAAAAGTTTTCTCAAAATTTGTGCTTCTCCTTCTGTTAGACTGTTTTGGCATTAGTCTGAGTTGTGTTTGACAATATAAACTGACATTTCAAGAACTTCTTCCCCCTCAGTGGATCTAATGACTAAACTCCGATAAGTTATGCAGTGTGTTAGTGTTCTCTCTGTTGTGCTGCCCTCCTCAGGTGGGACGCCGCCACTGCGCTCTTCAGCCAGCGCTACGGTGTATGTGAACCTCCTGGATCTCAACGATAATGATCCTGCCTTTTTAAACCTCCCATTTGTCGCTGAAGTACCAGAGGGGCTTCCTATTGGATCATCTGTGTTTAGGGTTAGTATTTGATTGGTTGAAGTCTCTACAGGGACTAGGAGTCACTTATTAAATATTCAACAAGCATAGACTGGCATTTCATTTAGTATGCAAGGGGACCTGGGTTCAAATTCTGATTTTAAAATGTGTTTTTTAATAAATCAACCAAAACTGCAACTGAGCTTGACGGCCAGAGATATTCAGGCATTTTAACGTTATGGAAAGGAGTGGATGTGACACTTTGTCAATAACTCACTTTGTGGTGGAAAAGTCATCCATTCAACCCCACAGAATTATTAGAAATACGATTTCTTAAATATGATTAAATTGGCCTGACTTTTCACAAACTTTTAATTAACCATAATTATTAACCATTTTTTTGTTGTTTTTCTTTTGTACTCATTATTTGATCAAACTTCCATATGCAATATATTGCGACATATTTAGGCAAAATCATATAAAAAATGTTTTTTATTTTTACAAAATGTATTATATGTAAGATATCCAGGTGCTAGCATTTAAAAAAATCACAATATTATATATCAAAATATGTATTGTTTCAAATGTTTATCATTGTTTAATGCTTTCTATTTCACTTATTATAAAAAAATAGTATGCAGTGCATACTATACAGTATTCACCAAGTAGTAAGCTAATATTCCAAACACATCCTTTGTTTTGTCTCAAAAAGTTTTCTCAAAATTTGTGCTTCTCCTTCTGTTAGACTGTTTTGGCATTAGTCTGAGTTGTGTTTGACAATATAAACTGACATTTCAAGAACTTCTTCCCCCTCAGTGGATCTAATGACTAAACTCCGATAAGTTATGCAGTGTGTTAGTGTTCTCTCTGTTGTGCTGCCCTCCTCAGGTGGGACGCCGCCACTGCGCTCTTCAGCCAGCGCTACGGTGTATGTGAACCTCCTGGATCTCAACGATAATGATCCTGCCTTTTTAAACCTCCCATTTGTCGCTGAAGTACCAGAGGGGCTTCCTATTGGATCATCTGTGTTTAGGGTTAGTATTTGATTGGTTGAAGTCTCTACAGGGACTAGGAGTCACTTATTAAATATTCAACAAGCATAGACTGGCATTTCATTTAGTATGCAAGGGGACCTGGGTTCAAATTCTGATTTTAAAATGTGTTTTTTAATAAATCAACCAAAACTGCAACTGAGCTTGACGGCCAGAGATATTCAGGCATTTTAACGTTATGGAAAGGAGTGGATGTGACACTTTGTCAATAACTCACTTTGTGGTGGAAAAGTCATCCATTCAACCCCACAGAATTATTAGAAATACGATTTCTTAAATATGATTAAAAACCCCCAACTGCTCCCCGGGCGCCGCAGCATAAATGGCTACCCACTGCTCCGGGTGTGTGTTCACGGCCTGTGTGTGTTCACTGCTGTGTGTGTGCACTATGGATGGGGTAAATGCAGAGCACTAATTCCTAGTATGGGTCACCATACTTGGCCACATGTCACATCACAAATGTATATTTCAAATAAATGCTATTTATTTGAACTTTTTATTAATCAAAGAATCCTGAAAATGTACAAACTTATTAATCAGCAAAACTGTTTTCACATTGATAATAATAATGATAAATATTCCTTTCCTGCAGCAAATGGGCATATTAAAATGATTTCTGAAGGATCATGTGACACTGAAGACTGGAGTAATGATGCTGAAAATGCAGCTTTGTTCACAGGAATACATTACATTTGAAAATATATTCAGATATTGCACAATATTACCTTTTATAAGAATAATGCTTTTTATACATTAGAATAAATACATTACATTTTAAATTACATTAAAATAGAAAACAGTAATAAAAATTTTTTTTAAACAATATTACTGTTTTTGCCATATTTTTGACCAAATAAATGTAACCTTGGTGAACATGAGACTTATTTCAAAAACAGTAAAAAAAAAAAAAACATCTTCCGGACCAAAACCTTGGAACACTTTTTGCACTCCAAATCAACTTGGCATGAAAATCCAAGGGGTCTTGTACCACGTTTGGGGTCATCTTTGATTTAATGTCAACTTCTACTGAAGTTCTTGTAATAAAACTGTTCTGTGCTCTGCCGCCTCCTGCTGGTTTCCTCTTTCAGGTGCAGGTGCAGGACCCTGATGAAGGTGACAATGGTGCGGTAACCATGGCCCTCCAGATGGGGATGCCGCGGCTGGACTTCAGGCTCAACACCACCACAGGAGTCCTGGTTTCCACCGCAGTGCTGGACCGCGAGCAGATTGGCCAGTATTATCTGAGGATCATTGCATATGACGCAGGCCAGTTTCCACGAACATCCACGAGTACTCTCACTATCACAGGTACAGATCAGGATCACTGTCCGGCTGTGTTTAGATGCAAATGCTAAGTCTTCTTAATGTCTGTTACTCTTTCTGTGCAGTTTTGGACGTGAATGATGAGACGCCAACCTTCTTTCCCAGCATTTATAACGTATCCCTGTATGAAAGCGTGCCCCGTGATTTTGTGGTGGTCAGACTGAACTGCACGGATAATGACACGGGTCTTAACGCAGAGCTCAGCTATTTTATCACAGGTCAGCGTGCAGAAGGTCACAGATCAGTGGGTGCGAATGAGTTTGTGCTGACGGAGCAACACTGTGGGATTTTGGTTGGAACTGTTGTGACCCACAGAGAACGGCTTTTAACAGATATGAAGCTGAGGCTCTGTTCCAAAATCTAGTGCTGCAGCCTACATAGGCAGTGCTGTTTTGTGAAGGCTCTTTTTAAACATACCCTAATGCATTGCAAAGTGCAAATGCAGTGGGGAAAAACTGCATTTAAGATGACAGATGAAGTTCATTCAGTAGTGAAAAGTATTTTGCCAAATATTTGTGTGTGATGTTTTTTATGCTTATTAGAAGAGCACCACATCATTATCTTCACTAAATGTATTTAAATATAGTTCAATTGGTAAAAAAATTTTAAATACTACTTAACCAACTATTTGTGTGCATTTTTTTATTTTATGTTTATAGGAAAATTACCACATTATTTTTGCAAAAAGTATTTAAATATAGTTACATTGGTTAACAAAATCACCAATTTAGTAAAAAGTTGTTTTTGCAGCATATTTTATGCTTAATACTCATTATCTTTGTGAAAAGTAATAGTATAACTTAATTGCTTAAAAAAATTACCAAATATTAAATACAGGTAAATTAAGTCAAGTTAAGTTAAATTTGTCTTTTAAAAAGTTTTTTATTTATTAGCAAATTACCAAACATAATGTGAAAAGTATTTTGCCAAATATTTGTGTGTGATGTTTTTTATGCTTATTAGAAGAGCACCACATCATTATCTTCACTAAATGTATTTAAATATAGTTCAATTGGTAAAAAAAAATTAAAATACTACTTAACCAACTATTTGTGTGCATTTTTTTATTTTATGTTTATAGGAAAATTACCACATTATTTTTGCAAAAAGTATTTAAATATAGTTACATTGGTTAACAAAATCACCAATTTAGTAAAAAGTTGTTTTTGCAGCATATTTTATGCTTAATACTCATTATCTTTGTGAAAAGTAATAGTATAACTTAATTGCTTAAAAAAATTACCAAATATTAAATACAGGTAAATTAAGTCAAGTTAAGTTAAATTTGTCTTTTAAAAAGTTTATTTATTAGCAAATTACCAAACATAATGTTTTGTGAAATTATTTAGAAATTCACAACTTGAGTAAATAATTGTGTGCCATGTATTTTTTGCTTATTTAAAAAGTACCACATCATTATCTTCGTGAAAAGTATTTTAATATAGTTAAATTGATTTTTAAACTTTACAATGTTTACCAAATATTTGTGTATGCTATGTATTTTCTGCTTATTTGAAAAATATCACATCATCTTCCTGAAAATTATTTGAATATAAATTGATTTAAAAAAAATAATAATAATACATTTACCAAACATTTGTGCATACTATGTATTTTATGCTTATTAGTAGAGTACCACATCATTCTCTTTACAAAAAGTAAGTATAGTTAGATTGATTTTAAGAAATCATTATTTTACCGAATATTTGTGTGCTGTGTATTTTATGCTTATTAGACGAGTATAGGACAACATCATCATCTTAGCAACATGGTAATGCCAAAATCAACTGTGAGGAATGCTATTTGTGTGACAACAGGTAAGTAGCACATTCAAAATCAGTCAATTATGAGGTTCCATTATAGTTAGTATGGTGGCATTTAGGGCAGCACACTAGGGTTTGGAACAGAGGCTGGATGTGTGATTTCTTTGTACTGAATGTGTTTGTGTCCCTATAGGAGGAAACCAGGATGGAAAGTTTAGCGTGGGTTTCCGGACCGGAGTAGTACGGACCGTGGTTGGTCTGGACCGCGAGACTCAGGCCTCGTACAGGCTAGTGATTGAAGCAATTGGTGAGTTTCCTATAGGTGTTAAAACAATTGGTTATGCATGTGTGCGTGCACATGTGGTATGATCTGCTGCAGCTTCCTGTCTGAATGACTTTGAGTTTAAAGCAAGTTTTGTGGTTTCCTGTGTGAGTTGAGTGAAGCGTTTAGCAATACTGCAGCTGTTACCTGTTTAATGAGCTACTATATGCTGCCCATTTTTTTCAATTCTAAGAATGTTATGTCAAGTCATTATTCATGTCTGATTCTAAACGTTAATTATGATGGAATGAAACGCATGTTTTGGAAGACCAGAACACATGAATCTGGGAATATTTACTCTTTATAATGTTTCAAAAACAAACACTCTTCCAAGTAATTTTCATGCAAAAATGTGTTTGTTTAATCGTATGAATATTTTATTAATTTATTTATTTGAGCTAAAATCTTATTTTTTTTAATATTATTATTATTATTTTTTTTTTTTTTTCTGTCTTAACACATTTTACACCAATAGCAGTGAGATAATACCATTTACTTCCCAGATCAAGAGTTTATAATGCAATCAAAATTTTTTTTTCATTTTCAATGATAAGAATATTACATATGGTTAATGCAGTAATGAGACGGTAGGCATATTATTGACATAGGCTACATGACATGGCTTGGGCATGGGCATGCTCGACCTCAATGTGTCTAATCGGTATATTCACCGGTCTTCTTCTCCGCAAGATACGACCGTACACTATGACACATTCCTTTGTGGCGATATCTGTGTCTCCGTCGATCAGGAATGCCAAGTACGCCATGCGCACTGTTTGCAGTTTGCACAGACGTCTTTTTTTTCAATGTATCTGCGATGACTCCTATAAATTGGGCGTACGTGACATCATTGCTGTACGTCGGGTTTACGTTCAAGCCATTTTTCTTCATAAGAATTATTTCGGACTTGAACTTAGTGAAGGGAAGTTCTTCTTTTGCAATATTGTAGGCAATGTTAAACTTGATTATCATCTCGGCCTCCTCTGATGATTTGTTTGCTGCTGCCTGCCACTGAAAGGCAGCGGGGATAGGGGACACTTGGGCAGTGCATTTATCGCGGCATGTAATGTGTTTTATAGATTAGGGTGACCATACGTGCCATTTTCCCAGGACGTGTCCTGGCCAGGATTTCTATATTGCCTAAAATATCTAGGTTTTGGCTTTGTTTGCAAGTGCAGACCGATATTAATACCTTGAGAGTGTTTTATAGATTAGGGTGACCATACGTGCCATTTTCCCAGGACGTGTCCTGGCCAGGATTTCTATATTGACAAAGCCAAAACCTAGATATTTTAGGCAATATAGAAATCCTGGCCAGGACACGTCCTGGGAAAATGGCACGTATGGTCACCCTATTATAGATGCATTGTGCTTTTTCAGCGTTTCAATTCTAAATGTATTAAACAGTCACAAATGCACTATTGCCGGCCATGGTCTTCCCACACTATTTACAGTAAATGCAGTGCATTATATTATCGGCTTTACTGTATCTTAGCCAGGGAAATTGGTCAAGCCACTCTCTTTGAAATGTATACACTTTCCCCCTTTTAATTTCAGTGGGATCCGGCTCGGACTCCATCGTATGTGGCTCATTATCTAATGCCGTCTCCGGACCAGGGCTTGACATAACCTGGGAGGTTGATGGCTCCGTGTTAGAGTATTGGTTATGATTTTTGGACAGATCAGGCCTTAACTTAACATTCTTAATGAAAAAGTTGTCAATCGTTCTTTTCATCTTCTCTCATCATCCGCGGCTACATCCACTCTGTTTATCTGACGGGCCTAGGCTACTCACCTCTCTCTGTCTGTGACGGCAGCACACGCATTTTCTAACGTACACACACGTACATGAATATCTGGACCACGGCCAATCAGAGGGGGGGTCCGCCCTTCACTATCTCTGATTGGTTTAGACCACGATATGGGCCTAATGTGTGTCTGTTGTTGAACCACAGGGAGACTTTCATAGTCGCAGAGACTTTTTTTCCCCCTCGAACGGCTGGTCGCACCGGTGCGACCTCAGATTTTTTTTAGTCGCACCATTGAGAAATTAGGTCGCACTCTAGAGCCCTGTATAAGACTTCCCAGAATCATGGAAAACCTGTGAATATCAGGAATAATGTAAATTGGAATGCATATAATATGAATTAGAAAAACAAAATATAATTATATAAATTTGTGTAAAGAATACCAAAACATTCCAGCTAGAATTCCAACTTTTCTTGAGTCTAATCTATTTAAAATAATCCAGTAACACTTTAGATTAGGGAACACTATTTGTTGACTTGTTGCATATTAACTAGCATATTGACTGTACTTCTAAAGAACATATTAATAGCTTATTCTGCATGATCATATTCTAGATCGCTTAACCCTACCCAGTACTTAAACATAACTACTACAACAACTACATACTATCAATAGGCAGCAAATTATTTATTTATTTTTGAGATAACTCTTAAGTTAATAGTGAATATGTGTTCCCTAATCTTAAAGTGTTACAAAAAATGCTTATCCAATATTCCTGAACAACTGGAAACATTGTAGAAATGCATTGGTCAACCTTGATCTTTGTACTGTATTTTATTTGTACTGAGAGTAGCATTTCCTAGCTGTATTGGCCAGACTTTGGTTGATGGTTTTCCCATAGATAATGGACCAGCGGGAGGTCGGAGGACAGGAACAGCTACAGTATATGTGGAGGTGCTGGACGTCAATGACAACAGGCCTATATTCCTCCAGAACAGCTATGAGACCAGTGTCCTGGAGAACATACCCAGAGGAACTAGTATATTACAGGTACACACGCTCATATTCACAATTCACTAGAAAACCTGTGCTCATTGACATTTAAAAAAAAATCATTTTTATTCCGATAAACAACAGTAGAACTATTTCAATACTGGTATTATGACATATCACGTGAAGCCATATGTTTGTTACATTGTGTTCATCTGTAACAATGGCAGCATGTTCTCAGTGGTTTTCTGTGATGTCATGTTCCGCTGTGCTGGAAACTGACAATCTCTAGGCTAGCAACAGTGCCATAATAGGGTAACCATGACGACGCTTTAAAAATTCTACAAAGTCAGCAGAATCATTTCTGCAGAGTTCTACAACTCATGACTAAATAAAAGGCGTTTTCATCTTCAAAGGGTTTTTACCTCTTTCCATATGTTATTGTAACTGTTATTGAAGTTAGTTTGGGGAATATTCCATCTTTAATATGCAAAGTTTTGTTTTAGTTTGCATGAATTTGCTGTTATGGAACACATGGAGTCACAGTGGCACAACAACAGTTATTTGAAAAAAATCGTGCAATTTGGACACTTGAAGCACACTTAATGTCAGAAGTGCAGTATTTAAAGATAACCCAAAGACATTTTTCCAGCAAAACATTTATTAAAAATAAGTTTTAAATGTTAAAACAATAAATATACTGTTCAAAATAATGATTTTATGGCTGTTAAATGCAGTGTGGTGTACTGCAATACAACGTAATTAATTACTGTAATTAAGTAAGGGATTACTCTGATTTTTTCTGTAATTTAATTAATGTACCTTCTGATGTAATTGCATTAAATACTGTATAGACTATAGAACAATTCCATATAAAACAATAGTGAATTTAACATAAAAAAAATTAAATATATGTTTTAATGTCACCTTCTCCCTTTAAATACTTTGGTCAGTTCAAGAATAATTCATGCAATTTTTGTATTCAATAATTTGTAAGAATTGAAGGAGCAGTTTCATGTCTGTCCTTGTATTGTTCAACTGGTCGAAGCTGAAATGGGATTTAGAAGGAAATAAATACTGCAATACTTTTTACAGAGAGTAATTAGTACAGTAATCGAATTACAATGTTGAAAATGTCGTTTGTAGCTAGTAATTAATTACTTTTTTAGGGGTAACTTACTCAACACTGGTCAGATGTCGGTAGAACAAGTCAGTGGTTACACAATTGTGAATGAATGCAAATTGGTTTTCTATTTTATTTTCTAATGCTATGACATTCAGACATGTTTAAGTGTGATTTAAGTGTACAAATACTCTTGTGGTTACATACATGCAAATGAATCAGAATTTACCCTAAATAAATAGTAATGTTGTTAATGCCCAGTCAAAATGGCCACCATTACTCAGACAGCACCTGGTCTTTGCTCATCCGGGCCATGTGTGCTAGTCTCCTCAGCCGCAGAGAATGTGATGGCAACGTCCAGCTGTTTATAGAGTTGCGGCCACCATATGATCGGATTGTTGAGTCACATCTTGTTTCGATTGAAGCGAATGTTGAATGAAATGAGTTGGCTCGTCTCTGTCAGCGCTGATAGCCGAGGTTGCAGTTTCTGCTCTTGTGTTTGCTTTGATTGTGTGTTTGTGCACTTATAGGTACATATCTATAGCTCTTTTCCAAAACCTAGTAAGCTTATGGCCTAAAAAGTATTTTAAAGGGCTTCATAGGCAAACTCCATATGATTGAATACCGTTAACAAAGTTTTAATACAAACATGGAGAGTGTTATCTGTTAGCATAGCTTAAATATGAATACCATGAATTCCAGCTGTTGTAGATTTTGAAGCAGCATCCAGTGCTATTTTAGTGTATATATATATAGAACGGGTATTGTTTTGGTTGTAGGACTACTTTGATGAACTTTTTTGATCCACTTCAAATGTTGACTTCTATATATATATATATATATATATGATGTGTGTAATACACATTTTATATATTTTTTATATTTTTTGTCATTTTAATTAGTGTTTTTATTCATTTATAATAAGATTGTGTATGTGATTAAATATATGTAATTTATTTGGTTGTCATTTTAATTAGTGTTCTACTCTTACTGTTTAGGTTTATTTTTATTTCAGTTTTAGGTTTTATTTATTTCCAGTTAGTCGTTTTAAACTTATTTTAGTTAGTTGCCAAAGCAACATTGCTCATTTTAGTTTAGTTTTAATATTTTCTAATATTTAAATGTACTTTATTTCAGCAGTTTTTTCTTTTGATTAGCAAAAATGTTTTAAATACTTTTATTTTTTGTTAATAATAATAACCATGCATCCTTCATGGAAAAGATACAGTAACCCCAGAATGCAATGCACTAAGCTCAGTGAAAATGGCAGACAATACTATACTTCATACTAAATGCATTTCATTCAATACATGAAAATATAGATAAAGTAGTCAGTTTAAATGAAATGTGATAGTTTTTATTTCATATTTGCTTGGTATGCATTTTTGTGCTTATTAGAGAATCACTAACTTAGCAACAAGCTTACAACTCCATAGTTGTTGCCTATGAAATGCACTCTAAATCAGTCACTTAGAAGGCTGTTGCTTATGTAGGTACTAGATAGCAAGACAGCTCACTAGGTGATGCGACAGAGCTTATATCTCAGTTGAATACTGCAGCAGAGCCGGTATAGTAATATATGTGTGGGAGTCGTTTGTCTTTGACTCTGCGGGCGACATTGACCCTGATTGCTTCCTGCTCTGGGCTATGTATGGCTGAACGGGTCTTCTGAAGGTTGGCGTGGAGGAAAACTGCCTCATCGAGCCCAAACGCTTCCAGAACTTCAACTGGGGCTCGTTGGACAGAGTCTGTCTGCAGGAGAGACCGTCTGCCGGGCCACAGTCCCCATCCACACCCCAGGACCCTCCCGACGGGCAGCCCACTGCCAGAAAGGTCACGAAGCCCCCGAACAGAACAAACAGAAACACGATGATGATGATGGTCAAGAGGGGATGGTGAAGATCCAGAGGTAGAGATGTTGGGGAAACCGGAAGTGAGAGATTAGAGAGGGACAGATTGAAGGGAACATCCATGTCGTTCCTGAATCTGTAGAGATGCAAAACAGGAAGAGTTAAATCTGGGTTAAGAGGAGCGTGCTTATAGTAGAGATGTAGGTGTTTTTGTGACACTCTGGGTTCAGGCTTGTGCAAAAGTGCGAATGTGTGCTTGAGCAAGACGCACGCAAGATGCCAGGATGTGGTTAACAGGTGTTTGTGTATGCTTAAAAAGAAAAAAATCTCTCTAATATCTCAGTTGTTTCTCTTAGGCAGCAAAGAGATGGAGAGCAAACAGACTTCTTTTTCAAACCAAATGCCTAAAACATCTTCGCAAGTATGTGAACGCAAGCGCTAAGAGCTTGCATGTATCATAGTGGTCCGAAGTATGCGTTTCATTCTCATGAAGGGAATCTTGTTCTGTGGTGTTTTTTTTTTTTCTAGCAATCTCACATGTGAGATCAAAATACTGTCTCGCGCTTGATTTGTCAAGATAATCTGCGATCAAAAGTGTTATGAAGCTTGTGATCTCATTTCATGAGCTCTGTGCTTATAATCATATATCACCAATAGTCTGATTTGTAATTTGTTTTTTTTTAAAGCAGTGTTGTTATTAACTACAACTAAAAGTATTCAAATTGTTTTTGTTCATTGAAATAAAGCTGAAATCACAACATATTAATATTAAGCTTAAACCTGAAAACTAAGCTGAAGTACTAAAATTACTAAAACTAAAATAAAATTGAATTAAATCTGAATGTAATTCTTTTTAAACAAAAACTAATAAAATGACAAGAACACACAATTAAACTAAATAAAAAAATAAAAGCATATTCGAATGAATAATAAATACTATGAAATAATACTAAAATAACACTGCTCGTCAGGATTTGTTGGAGAAAAATCAGAGGCAGTGTTAATACCCCAATGAAACAGCTCCTGAGCAGTGACAGAGCAGCCTCTGAGCTCATTTTCCTCTGGGTACAGAGCGTGGTTTGTTGTGGTGGGACTGCACACCTACACACACCTTATCATCATCACCATCTAGCAGCTCTACACATGCCGCTCAGAGCGCTCCTCTGCAACATTCAGTCACAATCAGAATGACTGAGCGATTTCTCTAAAGAAATGTCAAGAAAGGTCAAAGTATAGTAGATTTATATTGAACTTTATTGATTACAGATTGAGTTTGTTCACGCTTACAGAGCGTGAGTTTGTTCTCTGTCTGTCTCTCACTCACTCACACACACACACACACACACACACACACACATACACACACACTCACACTCTCACACACACACACACACTCTCACACACTTCTAGCTGCACCTGCAATTTTATGCATTGTGTTCAGAAATTCATAACACAACACAAATATGCATAGCATTCACAGCATCGCTTCTTAGCATCGCCTTTTACCGTCACTTTCTCCTGTAGATCAACAACTGTCATGGCCGAGCTACAGCTGGAAGAGAATCTGACTGCACTGCACCAGTTTGGTCTACATTTCCAGCTAAAATATCAAAAAAATCCTTAAAACAAGATACATTTACTTGAAAACCCACACTGCGTATGATATTAAGGCTTGTCTTCAGTAAAAGTGTTTTTAATTTGAGTGTTTATTGTATTGCACTGGCATTTTTTTCCACTTTCTCATAATACACTATACACTTATTAAAATCCACTAAGATTCCTTGTTTTTAAACACGCTCACACTCT